TTATATAGAAAATAAGCGATAAGAAATGTTGTAGTTTATCATAAAATTTTATTTATTTAAAAACTTTTTAGAGTTTTTAAGTGGTATCACTTAAAATTCCATACCATGATATGGAATGTTTAAATATTTCTTAGGCTAGGCGAGACTATCGTTATTTTGACGCAAAATCAAGTAAAAATTTTCTCAAGTTACAAATAGTTAACATCTGTTCTCTATTGCTTTGCTAATTTTATTTGTAACAATGAATAGCGCGGATATCTTGGCTTATAAACAATACGTTAAACGTCCATCTGTTAATACATCCTTGGTGTTACCTAAAGAACCGGGAGGCTGCATAAGCACGAATTGGCATAAGTGCGACGAATAAATTTGCAAACATTGGCATATGTACGAATTGGAATAAGTGCGAACTGGCATAAGTGCGAAGCAGTTACAAAAACTGGCATAAGTGCGAACTGGTATAACTGCGAATTGGCATAAGTGCGCCGAATAAGTTTGCTAATATTCGAATTGGCATAAGTGCGATCTGGCATAAGTGCGAAGCAGTTACAAAAACTGGAATAAGTGCGAACTGGCATAAGTGCGAATTGGCATAAGTGCGCCAAATAAAATTTCTAATATTGGCATAAGTGCAAATTATTATTTCGTATTATAAGTATTTCGCACTTATGCTAATTTGCATTTATGCCAGTTCGCACTTATGTCAATGTTTGCAAATTTATTTTGCACACTTATGTCAATTTGCAGTTATGTCAGTTTGCAGTTGTGCCAGTTTTTGTAACTGATTTGCACTAATGCCAGTTCGCACATATGCCAATTCGCGCTTATGGCAGTTCGCGCTTACGCCAATTGCACTTATGCCAGTTCCCACTTATGAAATTCGCGCTTTTTTACCGACTTTCATAAGGAGTGGTTTTGGCGTATGAGATTTCGGAGCCATCTTTATAGGGGAATAATGAACAAAAACAATGTCGATCTTAATTGATACCAGAATGTTTTTAACTTTCTTCTTAATTAATAAAAAACAATGGATAATTTTTTAGATAGAAAATAATTGTACAAAATGATTAATAGACCATTTTTTATCTACAAGTTGCACTTTACACGAGTTACGGATCAGAATAAATAAATTTAAACAGTACCCTTTTCTTGCTTAAAAACTAAAGTGAAAGGCAAAAAGACGTTTTGTACTCAAAACTTGCTTGGATTCTACAAATATCTCGCCTTTAACTCCCTCTTTAAATATAAAAGACTCAACACACCTTTCTATGACTTCATTTATTTTTAAAAAGTATACTTCAAATATAAGAGAATGCAGTTTAGAACACAAAAATTGATGCAATTATTAAAAATCAAATGTAGTTTTGGAACGAAAATTGACAGAAAAGTTGTAACTGTTAAAACGAATTTTGTTTAACTTGGCGTTAACATTGCTTGTTAGTTATCAAATCTTATGGGGAACAAATTTGTCTTGCTGCAGATTTGTTTAAAAAAGATTCCACATATCTTTTATTATGAAATGTTGGTTTCAAGAATATTACTTTTAAATTGTTGGTTTCAAAAAAATGTTGATATGTCCTTTTATTGTTATTATTTATCAAAGACTTCCATGAAGCAAAGGAAAAAGACTTGAAATCATGACTTTAAAAATGACGTTCTCAAAGTAAAAAAGATTAAATTTCTATTTCTTGCTGTTAAAAAAATGTAGAAAAAAAAATTTCTAAAATAAAGGAAACAAACTTTCAAATCATATTAGTGCAATGTTTTGTTTTCACGTGTAAAATTTTCATCACAATCACAGCTATCCCTTTACAAAAATGCCTTTTTTTTTTGCTTAATGCATCTTTATTTCAGATGCATGGCTAAACAAAAGAAATCTAATGATTTTTTTGTTGTTTACAGGAAAAAGTTTGAAAGCATAACACAACACACTATTTTTCATTATCTGATATTAAATAATATAGATATAGAAATATTGCTGAAAAAAAGACAACTTCCATATGCTTAAATACAATTATGTATCAAATAACATAATACTTTTTATGTTTGTGTATTTTTGTAGTGACAAAAATCAAAGAGTGTTGAAATTAAAAATTGCAGGTTGAACCGTAAATTATGTACAGTCTATATTTTTATCTATATCTACACCTTTTCAAGATGTAAATGAGAACATGAAAGTTGTAATTAAGAAGTCGTAATATGTAATTAAGAAACACAACATGTAGTTGAGAAAACGTTATATGTAATTGAGAAACACAACATGTAAATAAGAAGTCGTAACATGTAATTAAGAAACACAACATGTAATTGAGAAAACGTAAGATATAATTGAGAAATCATAATATGTAATTGAGAAATCGTAACTTGTAATTGAGAACACATAAATTAAAATAGCAAATTCACAGTCTAAGTTTGTAGGTTGTTACAAAAGGTCTTTTTGGACATGAATTTAAGTTATAATCTTAAATTTTGCTTTTGTATGCACAAGTAATAATAATGGAATTGAAAGATCGTTGTGTTATATGCCAATACACTATGACCCGAAAGTCTGTGATTAAGCTAAATCCGTGTCAACATTTATGTCACCAAATTTGTTTACGTCCAGTTCTGGAACAACCAGGTTCAAGTTGTCCGATTTGTCGGCATGAAATACACACAACTGAACAAGTTGAAAGGAAACGTTACGTTTTATCTTCTCCAAATGACAGGAGAAGAGTTGTTGAATGTGCGGAGCGATTTGAAGATTGGGTGAATCTCGCGCAAACGCTAGGTATCAAATATAAGACAGCATACAATTGGGTTCGCAGCGGAAATTCAAATTTCATCGGAAAAGGAGGTTTTAAACCGAAAAAGTTGACCGAAGATCAAATCGAAGAAACATTAACATGGATTGAAAATGATTGTCAATTAACATTGGTGGCCATCAAAACAAAGATATTAAGACAATTTAACATAAACGTTAGCACAACAACAATAGCAAATTACCTCGAAGGCAGATTGTTCTCATTAAAAAAGTGCACAAGGAGCCTTCTACAATGAACAGTTATGAAAACAAACAAAAAAGAGCTGAATATGTTAGAAACATCAACGAACATATCACAAATGGTCGTCAGATAGTTTTGTTGGATGAAACAAATTTTAACCTTTTTTGTAGAAAAACGCAAGGACACGCGAGACAAGGAAAAAGAGCCATTATGAAAGTACCTGCTTCAAAAGGCTTAAACATATACTTGATTGCAGCTATTTCAACTACAAATGTCGTCATGATAGAAACTCGCAGGGGATCATTTAAAGCAGATTCCTGTAACGAGTGGATGTTGGCTATGTTTCACCAGTGGGTTACATCCGGGAATCGTTTGGAGGATTTGGTCGTCGTAACAAATAATGCTCCTTGTCACGCTCGTTTGCAAAGGGTGTTTGATAATTCACCAGCTCAGTTGTTACGTTTGGGAGCTTACAGTCCAATGTTGAACCCGGTGGAAACGATCTGGTCCAAAATTAAAAGTAACGTTAAAAATGCAATTCGCATTCCACCTGTATTAGGTGACGGGATTGCGGAACAGCGCATGCAGTACTTAGAACGAATTGTAATTGAGGCGAAAAATACTATAATGGGAGGAGATTGTGCACGTGCGGTACAACACACAACCACGCACTATGCAACTATTTTAAATATGGAAGACGTACAAGTTGGTGCTTAAATGATCAATGAAGTGATTTTTAATTATATAATTTTTAATTGAATTATAAATTTTTCCCTAAAATGTTTTTAGTGTTTATTATGTTAAATTCATTTGCCCAAAAATTATAAATTTTTTCCTAAATTTTTCCCTAAAAAATTAAATTTACGCTACAAATCTTGCGTCATTTTTAAGTGCGTCATTTTATACGCTCCATTTTTTTACGCGTCATTTTTTTTAAGCGCCATTTTACACTTACTCCTTTAAAGCGATATCTAAATTAAAATTTTCGTGTTCTCAATTACATCTTTCTATTTCTTAATTACAACTTACATTTTCTCAATTACATGTTACGATTCTTAATTACAATTTTCGTTTTCTAAATTACATCTTATGTTTCTTAATTACAACTTACGTTTTCTCAATTACATCTTACATTTCTTAATTACAACTTACGTTTTCTCAATTACATCTTACGTTTCTTAATTACAACTTTTGTTTTCTCAATTACATCTTACGATTCTTAATTACAATTTTCGTTTTCTAAATTACATCTTATGTTTCTTAATTACAACTTACGTTTTCTCAATTACATCTTACGTTTCTTAATTACAACTTACGTTTTCTCAATTACATCTTACGTTTCTTAATTACAACTTTTGTTTTCTCAATTACATCTTACGATTCTTAATTACAATTTTTGTTTTCTCAATTACATCTTGAAAAGGTGTATATCTTTAAATTGTGTACAGTCTATATGCATATCATGTCCATTCTTGAAAAATATTTTGGAAAATCTTTTTTAATAAATAGGATAATCTCAACAAAGGTCAGTATTTTTAAAATATGTCACTTAAAATGCTATTCATGCAACAAAAAATATTACATGTGCTTTTGGAAACTAGTAAAATATAACCCATAACTACCAAGGCATAAAGACAAGTAAAAAAAAAAAAAAATTTAGATATTTTATCTAAAGATCAATAATCAGTGCTATTACAATTTTAATACACAATAGTAAATATAGAGTTGTAATATCAAATAATACATTGCACATTCCAATAGATAAAAGGTATTTTAATTATGAAATATTATTTTATTAATGGTTAGTATATTTTTTTTAGTTTTTAGTAACTTTGTAATAATAATTGATTTTTAAATTTTTGAGAACTTTTACTTTTATAAGAAGAATTATATTTTATTTTTCGACTGTATTTCTGCATTAGCTTTTTCAAGTCTTTTATATAATGGTTTATTATTCTATAATAAAAAAAAAAAACATAAATTAATAAAATAAATAACATATTTTTTCATCTATTATATTAGGATTTTGAAATTATTCTTTGAGTAGGAAACTTTTGAGATGATATGAAATAATAGCATGAGTTTCTTGACGATTTAGATTTTTAATAAAATCCAGTGTTGTTTTATATTATTTTTATCTATTGGAAGTTATTGGTTCCTTATTCTGTTTAAATCCAGCATACCACTTTTTGCATTAACTTTTATGAATACTATACTGTATTACTGAGACGGTGGGCTAACCTAAGTTAATGAATTGAACTGTTGTCTCCATAAAAAATCTGTTCGTCCGATATATGGAAATTAAGAAGATTGGACTAAAACAAAGTATTATTCCATATTACTTCGATTAAGTTCTATCTCCTTTTTTTTTGTATAAACATTGTTGTAACATAAATATAAAGAACAAAACCAATTTATAGTGTTAATATCTTTGTAATACTAGTTATTTCTAATAATACTAGTTTGCTGAATACACATACAAAATATTGGGTGAAAAACTAACAAATTTAGGCATTTTGTTATTATATGGGTTGTGAAATAAGTACAAATATGTATATTCAATCTTTCCACAAGGTTTTAAAGTACAGTTACATACAAGGTAAGCATAATAAAATAATTGACAATTGCTTGTTTCCATTGTTAAAGTTTAATAGAGACAAAGTAAATGAAAGAATAATAAAATTAACATGATGGAAGATAAGCTTTAAAGTGAAAATGGTGTATTCTAGGCACATTGAAAGCGTACAACTGTGTGAAAAGTTTGCCTTGCTAAATGAGCCAGGTTAGTACAGCCAGAGTCAAAGGTTATCAATACAGAATTGTAAAACATCATGAATCGTAAAATCTTTTTGTTTCAGTTTGTCTTTAGTCTTTTTAAATATTTTAAGCAGGGTTTTTTTTTAGAGCAAGAATTATACTATCAATGCAGTAGAGCGGTTGGAAAAGATTGAGTTTCTTTTTTAGTTACTTCAACTACTTGTTATTTTTTGTTATTAGAAAGGTTAATAAAAGTTAACGTTTTTAGACAGTCGAAGATTCTGATTTGAGTAAGCTCGCTATTCATTTTTATTTTAAGTTGGAATTTTATTTTAGTATTTATCATGAAAAGTTAAATAAAATAACATTGTCATCTGTAAAAAAAATGTTAGTTTGTATACATAAATTTGTGTATGTTTTATACTTCTCTGTACCTATATGCATATTTTCTCTTTGAAAAAAATAACTAGGAATAGAAAAAGTCTAAAAAATTCTGCTGGATGTTGTCAAAAGAATGTTATGTTATGCTTCTTTCTAAGGTATCTAAATATATATTTATTAGAAGTTTTTAAATTAGTTCTTAAATAATTTCATCATTTTTATTACTTATAATAAAAGTATACTGACTGACATTACTTCATTTTTATTAACAATGTTCTGCATTGTAGTATAACAATGTTCTGCATTGTAGTATTACCCCTAAAAATATTTTTTATTCAAAAAAGTTGTCAACCTAGTGTTTTTGTATTATATAAAACACATTTAGGGTTGTGGAGCAGATTTTTTCAAAAATGTTGTTTTTTGGACCACCCTATTATATATCTATATAAACTTATGAAAGATATGAATTTCAATAAATTTTAAATTAAATTGTTATAGGTTTTTATTTTAAAAGTTATTATTTTTAATAATAAAGTTATTTTAATTTTTGACCTCAGCAGTAAACCAGTGGTTAAACAAATGAGTTGAATTGTAAAGGTTTATATATCACATATTCTAAAGTATTTTTGATTTTTTTTTAAATATATTGCTTTACATAAGGCGTTTTGATTTTTTTTCTCTTTTAAATAGTTTTTTTTTATTAGTTTAATAAAATTGTTATTCAGATAAGAAGCTAAGTAAGATTCAACATTGTTTTTTTTTTTGTTTTTTTGATTTTTAATTGAATATTATTATTTATCTCTTTTTAGATATATTTCTACAAAATTAAACTTTTAATATTTTGATGTTTTTATTTAATTTTTTTTATTTAATTTTTTTTTTAAATAATAGTGATTCATCTAAATTGTTTATTTTATTCTTATGTTTATGTATAATAATAGAAACTAATTTCATAGAAAAATATCATAATTTTTAACATTCTTTTGCGTTTATTTGTTACTACAGTAGTTATACTACTGCTAGTATTATTATTAATTATTTGTAACAGTATATTGTAACAGTATATTAATATTGTTATATTATTTCAGGCTTGGTCAGGAAGTGGGAGTGATCGCTCTCGAATACTGACCACGGAAATAATATTTAGTTTCGAAAAACTGGCCAGATTTTTTAGTCGTTTTGAGAACATTTCAAAAAACAAAAAAAGCGTAAAAAAGTTATTTGGACCGATGAGAGACAGTTATAAAAACCACGAATAAACTTAAAGCAAAATAATTTACGTTTGGAATAAATATTTTTGAAACATTGTTCTTTAATAAATTTTTTATAAAATTAGGCGACATTTTTTAACAAATGTTTTTTTATTTATCAATGAGTATAATATAATTTTTATTTATACCTCATGTATTATTTCTAGTGCTAGATTTAGGAGGGTTGTGGTTAGCGGTAGCCTCACAATATTAGGGGCTTCGAAAAACTCAAGAAGACCATATTTATATTCATACGATTTTAATAAAACTAGCGTTTATTTTAATTTAAGCTAAAGTATTCTAAAAACAAAAAAGTTAATATTTTTAAGAACTATTTTATGTTTCGCGTACAGTAGTTTAAAAAGTTTATCATATCTGAAACGATTCTTCTCAGTACCATAAACAAATAAAATAGTTAAATTATCGAGTTACTGTAGAAACTAAATTAACTAGATAGAAATCAACTAAAATGGTTTAAGTACTTTTTGGCAAGGAAGCGAAACTGCTTCACAATATCGCTGGTGATGTTTGGCGAGTGGGCTTTTTAATTTTAGTATTTAGAACAGTAAAAATGTATAATGAGTTTGTAAGAATGGCAACTGAAGCGAAATAATTAAAGTTTTTAAAACAATATCTAAAAACTTTTCTTTATATCTAATAACTTTCAATATATATATTTGTGTTCTGTGTGACTGCGCTTGAGGTCACACAGAACTTCAGATGTTTGATCATCAGTGAGTTACTTTGTATGCATGTTCGCGTTTAATAACCAGAAACTTATTGTGTGTTTATTTCATAATTAGTTTTATTAACTTTGAAAAAATGGTTATTTATAACTTTATTGAAAACGCAATTATCGTTGATAGTATTTGTTTACAAAATAAATCGTAAAAATTGCTTTAAAAGATTGCATTAGTATAAAAAACAAATACACAAAATTACACTTGCATAAAAAACACACTTTTTTAATAAAAAATGAGAACATACTAATAAAATCTATAATTTATAATAAACTCTCATAATTTTACGGCCTTGCAGGTGTGGCTCCCAGAATGAGCCATAATATTAAAGTAATTGTTTGATAATATATTTTTAAAACATTTCAACAGAATTCTCTAGAACTTTATTTTGCTTAGTTGGCATATTTTTTGAACTAATAGAATTAGTTCAAATAATTTAGCGGGTTTTTTGTATTAGCGAATATTCTTTTTATTTTTCCGCACCAAGATCTTTTGAGAACATTCTAATTTATGTATGTTTCCATGTATGTCCCTGCTTTTTTTTACAGACATTAAATGTTCTTAAAACGACTAAAAAACCTGGCCAGTTTTTCTTAACTTAATACAATTTCCGTGGTCAGTATTCAAGAGCGATTGCTTCCGCTTCCCGACAAGCCTTTATTTACCAAAACACTTTCTTCTGAAAACACAATAAAAATTATATATTTATTGTATAACTTTTAAACTGTAAAATCTGAGCTAGCACATTGTAGCAGACAACATACCGAATAAAATCTAAATTTTACTTACTGCTTCTTGGTTTTTTTTCAATCTGTACTTTATTTAATTATTGATAATAGTGAAATTGAAATAGTTGATATTAGGCTTAAATAAGCTATTAGAATAAATACTTTCAACTTAATAATATGTGATACTTTAGTGAAATAATTAGAGCTGAAATTATATGTTGTCAAATTGTAGGAAATGCTGCTTGGCAAGATAAAATTAATTTGTACTTAATTTAATACATTGTGGTTAGGCAAGTTAAAAGTAATTATCACATAAATTAAAGAGATAGTCTGATAGTCCTGGGAGAGATAAGATTGATCATTCTCAAAATGTACAAAATGCTGCTTGACAAAGTTTCTTTAAAATTTATTTCAATAAAGAATGTTTGAGAGAGCCATTTTTTAAAAAATGGATAATGAATGGCACTTATGGCGAAGTCAGATGTAAAACATGCCAAGCTTTGTATGATATTTTTGTATGATAAATGAAATTGACAATATTGAGCAAGATGTTATGGTAACATTTATACACTGCATGGTCCTTTTAACAAACTTTTCTGGCCATCCTAGACCAGATGGGTGTTGGGATCCAATTACCAACAAAATTTTTGTCATTGACGCACTCAAAAAAATTTTGAAGGCCGTATTTTCAAAGTTATCTTCAAATTATTGGATTATATCACAAGACTCCATTACAAAAAAGTTAGGCACTTGCTCCAGTCCCCTTCTCCCCAATGTCTTGGTTCCCTGAAAACAGTTTTAACATGCACATTCATTGGCACTGCAAAAATGGTAAAGTTTTCAGAGCTCCAGCTAGTCTAAAAAGGAGTGAAAAATCAATTGCAATGTTTTGCTAAAAAAAAGTGGGGACCGTGTCCCGTTATCCATATATGGAGATCTGTGTAAATGCAGATCAAAATCTTTATATTTTTTGAAAGATCAATGAATAATGTGAAATATATTTTTGGTATCATTAAGGCCACATGGGTTTCTTGAGCATTAAAAACAGATATGTAAAAAATTATTAAATTTATTTAAGTTGATAATTATAGGTACTTAATAATTTTTTACACTTCTCATCACTTCATTAGATTCTTCACCCCCCAAAATAGCCAGTTACAAGTTTTTAATTAAAATATACAAGTTACATAACTTAAAATGTTTTTAAAGTTATGTGACTTGAAACCCTTAAATACATGTTGCATTATTGAGGGGACAAGAAAAGCCTGTGCAATATCTGCTAAGATGTCAAGCGGTCATATTTCATGATTTTTTAAGTTTAACTGTATAAAAATCAGCAAAATCTGAGAGGTATGGTGATATGACCTAGATCATTTTACACGGAATTACCCTATACTCAGTTTTTGTTTCTTATTTTTTTCAGATATTTTACAATATCACAAATGATTAGTTTAAGATTATTATAAAAACTTTTTTATTTTAGCTGTTTTTATGACTATTATTAGTTAGACTGTTATTAATTAGACAGATTTGTTATATTTTAGTTCTAATATTAGTCACTACAATATTTTTACGATTCAAATTTTATAAAATTTTCGTATAACTGATAACTATCCGAAAATTAAATGATTTTTTTTTTTGAAGTCCAAACATAATTGTATTCTTTTTTTTCTTTTTTTTTTTTAGCAGTCATTTTGGTTTGCCTACTGTTGAAATATGGTTTTAATTTAGTAAATTTATATGATTTGAAATTTACTGTGTTAATTATATTATTTAACAGTTATGAAGAAATTAAAATTCTAAAGTATTGAGGTAAAAATATTTTTTTTTGTGGTAAAATTAAAAAGCCTTTTTTTAGTGTTTAATTGTGCTATAACTATTTTGTGCTAATATGTATTTTTTTGTCATTGTTATTAAAACCAATTATTTAAGTTATGATTATAATAATTTATTGTAATAAAGTGCCTTTGAAGCAGTCTGTCTCCTCTGTTTAACGAAAGTTTATTAAGAAAGGAAAGAATTGTTGGGACAATGTGTTATTACTAAGCTCTTATGTACTTTTTGGTACCATAATTGATAATGACCGTGTTAAAGAAATGTTTCACGAGTCGCGTACTAATTCATGAACACAATAATATAAATGTAAAACAATGCTCCTCTTCATTATTAAACTTACTTATTCTAAAACAATAAATATGTAAAATAATGCTTTTGTATTTCAAGATGATATTTTTCTTTTAGATATTGGTAAGTTGTACTTAGCGTTACTTCTATGGTGCTTTCTGTTATCAAAAAGAATCCTCTAACTTTACTAAATCCCAAGAAAAAGCGAGCAAAACCAAAAAGATTATATAGAGCTTGTCCCGATTTTTACAGAGAAGAGCGCAACGCTAAACTAATTAAAATTGAATTTTTTATAGCGTTATTTTGCGGAAAAACCGGAACAATTGCAGCCCTATATATAGATGAATTTGTATTTACCTTTTACAAATATCTGAAGTTAATTTGTTATTAGTTACTTATTACTAACCCATTAACGGGTTGTTTGCTGCTAGTTAATAATAATTAATATTTAAACTTATCAATAATCAGAAAGGTTTCTTTTTATTGAAGCAAGAATTGTTTAACCCCTGATTAAAAATCGTGTCGTATGTAATATACGGTGTCTGCCAGGTCAGGGAATTCAGATTTCTGCAATAAAATCAGGGATTTTGAATGGGTTTTATAACATCATAAAAGTCTATTATAATATTCACAATAACATCATCATATCCAGTTGTTTTGTTTCTTTTTAATGAACTAAAGGCGATTTCAAATTCATCATAAGTTAGCTCAGTAAAGTGAAAATTTGATGAAGTTGATGTTAGGAACTCATTCGTCGGTTTATCGTCGATATAAGGAATACTATTCGCTAGTTTAGTTCCAATTGTTGTAAAAAATTTGTTAAATTCAGCTGCAATATAGTTTGAGTCGTTAATTAGTTTGTTTTTAATTTTTATTTCATGTGGGAGAGAATTTTTATTTGTTTTAAGTTTTCCTGTAATTTCTTTCATTATTTTCCAGATTTGTTTCGAATTATTTTTATGTTTATTGATCAAGTAGGAGTAGTATTTTTTTTTTGCATTTTTGCGAAGTTTTTCAAATAAGGTTTTATAGGTAATATAGTTATTTTTATGTTTTACTGATTTTGATTTGATAATTTTTACTGATAAACTTGAAAAACTAATTATTTTTTATCACGGTCCTTATTTATGCAATAAAATAGTTTTGCCAGATTTTGATTTGTCTTTGAAATGGACTGAAATGATTTTTTATCCACGATCTTAATATTTTAAATGCACAGTTATATATAGTTTATGTTGGTTTATTTTTATTGTTTAATTTGGTTTTATTGTTATTATTATTATATTTGATATTGTAAAGGGCTTAAAAAAAAATCTGAATGCTTATATTTAATCAGTCTTCCGTTTTATTATCAGTTATTTCTACAAACGGTTGTGTCTTGCTTTAAATGTCTGAAAATTTTCATTTCATTCAATTAGTTTTGTAATTTGATTCCATATCGATAACATAGTCAAGGTTTGTAATATTTGGATGCAGGCGTTAAAAAGTTAAAAATATGAAAGTTTTTAAAATTGTTTAATTATTTTTGTGTGATCGAAGGTCTCCTTCAGTTGCAGTTTGAGGATCTATAGCTTTATTCATTTAAAATTATATTTTATAATCAAGATAGCACGAAAGCTTGAGGTTAACATTAACTTACTTTATTGCGAGTAATAACGTCTGCTAACTAAGGTTATCTTTTTTTTTTGTAGGATAGGTCCAGGGTGCGATCGCAATCCGGCGCCAGGGTTATCGTAATTTTGGCACTGGTTATCATGTTTTTGTTACATTAAATATGAATTTTCATTAGGAAAAAGAAAAAGCCAAGAGTTGTGAAAGAAAAGATTGCTGTCCCATGCCAATATATATATATATATATATATATATATATATATATATATATATATATATATATATATATATATATATATATATATTTAACATAGTGAAAAGAAATGGTTAATATTTTTGTTTGTGTTGTTAAACGAAAAATCCCGTCAACGCATATATGAAACTCTTTGATTACGAGTCAAGGCCTCTTAGGACTTTTGAAAACGAGTTAACAAATGGTTTGGTGGAATTATAAAATGATATTTTTTTCGCACCTTTAAATGTAACCGATGTAACATAGCATTTTTACTTAAAGGGCTCCCATAACATATTTACGAAAGGGATGCGGGGGTAACAGTTTTATATACTTTTTTAATTAAATACAGAAAAATTGCAATAAAAGATTTTGGTCTTGCTTTATTTTAATCTTACGGCAATTTTTGAATTAATTGATGATGCACACGTAAGCAGAAAGAGCTTAATTAAATTTAAGAATTGCTTATTGCAATACAACAATTTAAGGAGACATCACATCAATAACTGGAACTATAAAATCATTTTATAAATTATGTAAACTGTAAGTATCAAAATATAAACAGTTCAAACTAAATGTTTTTTGACATTTTGCGATAAATAAAGGATCCTTCATATTTGACCCTAAGATTGACTTAATGAGCGAAACTTATTGTCAATAGTAAAAACATAGAAAACATTCCTTTATTTTTGAAACAAGGTTTTTATTAAAGTAAATTAGGATTTTTTTTCCTTAAAATACATTATTTTAAAGCAAAGGAATCTACATGTAATAACTTCCTTCCTTTAAAAGAAAATTCATCTTTTATAAATAAATCTTCAATATTATTGAAAGATGATAGAGACAATTATTATTTTTTCAAATATATTAATATTAATTTTGCTGCTTCAAATATAAATTGACTAAACTATAGACTTAATAGACAGTGATCACGGCGACGGGGAAAGGTTGGGAAGGGCGAGAGGAATAAGAAACGTCAACTTTTTGGCTAATGTTAGAAGTAACATATTAAATCTAACAAAAACTATAAAAATAACATTAAAACTTATGTCCCTCCCCCCCTCCCTCACTCCTTCTTTCTATATAAAAACCGGCGCCGCGATCCTTGTTTGAAAACCGACTTGTCATTAGTCACAAAAAATCATATGCATTATTTTGTATAAATATTAATTCTAAACGTATTTAATGTTGAGGATACATTAGGATATTACAAATATATATGGCTTTCATAAGAGAGCGAACTAATCACAAACAACATTTCATTTCATTACCAGATTACGATCACATGCAGGTTTATCAATATGGATAAGCCAGTTGATAAGTTACATCTACATCAGGTTAAAAAAAATTAAATTAGACATCAATTAAATATTGCTTTTTATTTAGTAGAAAGTAAAGAATAATGCTAAAAAATGTGCACAAAGAGCACCATAAAATAATTGTTTTAACATAAAAGTAATACAATTTAAAAGGTTATGAAAAATAAAAATAGCACTAAAAGCATACAAATATTTTGAATTATTGTAAGACTACTGATGTTAATTATTACGTTTAAGTTGAGCCTCGTATCAAAATAACAAAACTAATGTCAACTTAATTTCCAAACAAATGGGACACCTAAATAAATATTAGTTACATAAAGTTAATAACAATAGTTAAATTAAATAATAACAAAATAAAAATAAACAATAAATAAATAAAAATAATAACAAATATCTGAGGCAAATAAATTATAATTATGTAAATTTAAATATTAATAATACTAAACCATTTTAATAAAAATAGTAATCAACAACCTTAAGCTTGATTACTAAATCTCTTATAAAGCTCTATAAGCTCTTATAAAATACTTTCATCACTTAAAGAACAATAATAAATCACACAAAAAATCATTATTATCACATAAAATTTTTTCCAACTGATCAGTTGTCCTGAAATAAAGATAACTAGGACAGATAAGGACAAAGCATTTTATAATAGAAATGATAAAAAAATTTATTAAAGAGTCTTCAGCCCTTAACCATATTGTGTATTAATATCAGTTGCACAATGCAGCAGTAATAATTCCACCAGTTAAAATTAACTTAAAAATTGGTAACATGTAACCCAGTGCAACCTACCCCATGTCCTGCTGCCTAGTAGACATACCAAATATCTATTTTTGTGTTTTCCTATGTATGTTTGTATTTTGTCTCTGGTGCAGTGCTGGTTCACCTGTAAGGCACTATATATATATATATGTATATACAGGTATATTATTGCCAAGGTATATTGGACTACCTATGATTAAGTCAATTAAAGATAAAACATAAACATGACTAAAGTACTTTAAAACGTAAAACACAAAAAACTGCCATCATCACCTAGCTTTTCATGTGTTGAAACTTACTGCAAAATTCACCAGACCTACTTGTTTTTTGTAAGACCAATTTGATTTCAGTTGTTTTATAATCGGATTTCAGTATTGGCAATTATCTTTTGATATGTAAAGAATGCAATAGTTGCATGCTTGGCCTGTACGTATATTTATGAATCAATTTGCCTATTTGTAGCAACATTTGAACCCACTGATTATGCATTTATGTGCTTTTGCTTACTCATCTACCTTTCTCTTAATACTTTATCATTCTCCTTCTTTCCAAGACTGTGCTATTTCTGATGTTATTTCTCATCAAATTGACAGAGCCCTTTCACTTTATCCTTCAGCCAATTCATTGGTGATTTCAATTCTTATCATAGTGAATAGCTCGACTCCACTAAGCCTGCTATCATTGTTCAAATTTTTTGTTTTTCTTTATCTCTTACTCAAATAGTCAGCTTTGTGACTCATTATCCAGACAACCCTAACCACTTACCATCTCTCCTTGATTTCTGTATTGTCTCTGTGCCTAATTTGTGTTAAGTTTTTTTTTGTTCTCCTATTGGTGGTTTGGACCATGCTATGATCTCACTATAACTTATATCGCTTACTTCTTTTTTAGACTCACCCTATCATTACACTTCATACTACTATTTTAAAGCTGACTGGGATAACTTTCATGTCTTTTTTTGGATGGTCTTTGGGCTGATGTCTATCGCCTCTACCTTCCTACATAATCTCCTGGAATCAGATAGGCATTGAAGTATTTATTTTCTCTTTGGTTTCAAGTAAGCTGGAAATCAATGGGATTTTCCCTATGTGTGCAGTAATTATTATTTTTCTCTCTTTTACAAAAACAACTCTCTTAAAAACAAACTTTTTTTATAATTGCAAGAAATTAAAGAAAAAAAGTGCTGTCTGATACTATGCTTCATTATTCTCCAATAAGTAAATCTTGCATATGATCTCAGGAATGTTGGAGGAGGACCTCCAACATTCCTGAGATAATATATATATATATATATATATATATATATATATATATATATATATATATATATATATATATATATATATATATATATATATATATATATATATATATATATATATATATATATATATATATATATATATATATATATATATATATATATATATATATATATATATATATATATATATATATATATATATATATATATATATATATATGCATACATATATATGTATTTAAAGTAAAGCTTCTATTTATGGATTTAACTCTATTCGTTAAAATAATGAACTTTACGATATTTTGAGAGAATGTTGACATCATTGTTATTAAGTATATAAATACAAATACATATAAGTATATATATATATATATATATATATATATATATATATATATATATATATATATATATATATATATATATATATATATATATATATATATATATATATATATATATATATATATATATATTATCCATTTATTTAACCATAAAGTTGAAATAATTACAAGTGATATATAATTTCACAAAATTAGGTTCGGTTTCACTCGTATAGTTAAAAACTAGTCATTGGAGTGGCACTTAGATAAAATAAACAAATAAAGCAAATTACTATATAGATAGCAACCAAAATAAATTTAAACAAAATAAAAAGAAGAAAAAATGAATATTTAAAATTGCAAGACAAATAAAAAAAAAGGGAAAAAGTGAATAAACTGACATGATAGATAACATGATAGATGACGATCAGAAGGATGATAAAAATAATACACAATACACATGTGTACAAGTCAAATAAACGATGCACAAAAATACACAACAGTATAAACTAAACATATAAATACACGACAATATAAAAAATATGGGATTATAAACAATACACAAAAATACAAGACAGTATAAGCAATCCATACAGCATAAGTTAATAAAACTAATATGATCATTAATAGATTTCTAAACAAAAACTAAATATTATATACACAAAAAAGGAAAGTTACAAACAGTTAAAAGCTGACATAAAATAATAACTTACTGTGAGATAAAAAACAATATCATATAGAAACAGACAATGATTATACAATAATAAAGTAAATATATAATATAAAAAAGTCAATATTAATTTTCAAACAACATTTAAATATAAGTACAGACAGAGGAAGTTACAAGCAGTATATACTGACAAAACATAACAGCCTACCACACGATATAAACATTTACTGTAAAAAAATAATTTATAATATACAAAAAAACTAAACTTTTAAATGACATTATAATAAAAATACATGAAAATATAAACATGGCACATATAAACACATCACACAAGACAATATAAACAATGCACAAAAATATTTGTCAATACAAGATACTGTACAAAACAATTTAAACTTAAAAAAAAAATCTCTCTCTCTCTCTCTCTCTCTCTCTCTCTCTCTATATATATATATATATATATATATATATATATATATATATATATATATATATATATATATATATATATATATATATATATATATATATATATATATATATATGTATGAGTGTTATATTATTTCAAATTATATTTATTAAATTCATAAGATTTATGCTTCATAAAAAACTGTTGTTTAACTAATGATCATTGTTAAACATTAGTTAAGATGACTCTTCATTAAATAGTTATAATACTAATAATTAAACTTATTTTGTATCAGAATTATTGAGCCACTAAAGGTAAAGCCATAGACAATGTACAAATAAATTGTGTAGATTTATTAATATGACTAAAGCTACACAATTAATAAGTAATAAATATTGTTTTTTGTCAACAAAATATTATTGTCAATACAATAACTGTATTAATACAATAACAGCTATTCTATTGTCAATAATACTATTATTGTAAATTATAACAATATAATTGTTAAGTATAAATATATTACAATTATATAAAACAAAACAATAATACTTTTATAGTTAACTATTATTGTAACTCAATATTTAGGCTAAAAGGTTTTATTTACCCATTGAATGTTTAATAAAATATAATATCATTTCATTTTAATGTTATGCTCTCTTTAAAAGTGCAAACTACAAATTAAAAAAAAATAGCTAAACTAACAATACCATAACAATGCTATAATCAAAGGAGGTATTTTACAGGAATGGCTCCCCAATTTGATTGGACAAAATATGCGTCTTAAGCGGTCCTCATCTCTAAAAATATATTTGTAAAATTTCATATACGTACTCCACATAAATCATATACAAGTTATTAAGTCCGGCAAACGAAAAAGTTGTTTCACGGACTTTGTAAAACAATTTTTTTCCATCCAATCAAAATAGGGAGACTTTCCTGTATTTAGACGCTCGTTTAATTCAATGACGTAAATAAATAACTAGATGTCTAACTTCGGGATTTTTATAAAATAAAAGTGAAGCCGATTTATTTGTTTACTATTTTAATCAGCCATTATTATATCGGGCAGAAAACAGTAAATATCATATATAATATAGAGAGTAAATTCGCGACATAATTTCTTTTACCTTGCTGAAGTATTTATTTAATTCAACTATTTTCATCACAAAATGGTAAATTCTTGTGCTGCATATGGATGTTCTAATAGATACATAAAAGGTGGCAAGAAATCCTTTCATAAATTTCCTTTTCAAAATTCTGAATTATGTAAAAAATGGATTATTGCTTTGAAACGTGAAAATTTTCTTCCATCCAAACACACCTGTATCTGCAGCGACCATTTTTTAGAATCAGACTACAATTACTGTATCCCAGACAAAAAAAATCTAATTCTTGATCATTATCATAAGCCTATTTTAAAATGTAATGCTGTGCCATCAGTTTTTGTATTTTCTACAAATATTCAAAAGACTAAAAGGAAACTCCCATCAATACGAACATCAGTAAATTCATTATCTAAATTTGATTCTTTTTCGAAAAAAACAAAGTTTGATGTTTGCCCTTTTATAGACAAACCAAGCAAAGAAATTAATTCAACACATAATGATCAGCCAGAAAGCACTATTGAACAAAATGACCACACTAGTCAATCTCCAACACAATCTATAAAATCTTTATCACCAGCAAAAGAAAAATTAAAAAAAAAAGTTAAGGTTTTACAACAAAAATTAAGAAGAAAAGAAAAGAAAATCTGCTCTTTACAAGACATGGTTTCCCTTTTAAAATCTAAAAATTATTTGACTACTGATAACTGTTTTAAGCGAAAAATTTTCTGGACTTTCATATGAAATTATTAAGAACCAATTTTCCAATCAAAATATTAACCCAAAAGGTCACAGATACAACGATGAAGTAAAAAATTTGCTTTAACTCTTCATTTTTATTCTCCTCCTGCGTATAACTTTCTTCGGCCAATGTTATGTCTTCCTGCTGCCAGTTCAATATCACATTGGACATCATCTGTAAATTGTGATCCCGGTTTATTCCTTGATGTTTTTTTATATCTTGGTGATAAACAGAAAACAGATATTAATTTTAAGCATTGTGCTCTTATTATTGATGCTATGGCAATCAAAAACAGTATAATTTATGACAAAAGTTCAGGTCACTATATTGGTTTTTGTGATTTTGGTAAAGATATTTCTGTATGTGAACCTGATACTCCAGCTACAGAGGCATTAATTTTTATGTTAGTTGGTTTGCGAGGACATTGGAAAACACCCATTGGTTATGTTTTATCAAATAAAGTTAAAGCAAATGATTTAACATGTTTTATCAAAAATATTTTAGATGTGGCTTTGACATATGAACTTTGTATCAAAAGTATTACATTTGATGGTACTAGTACAAATTTAAATTCCGTTGTCCCATTTGGATGTAAGTTTGGCAATGTCATAGACAATATAGTTAGTACTTTTTTATATAACAACCAACTGCTCCACATTTTCCTAGACCCATGCCATATGCTTAAATTAGCTAGAAATTCTCTAAATGATTTGGGTGTTTTTATTGATGATGAAGGCTGCTATATTAAATGGAGTTATATTAAAGCTTTGTTTGAGTTACAAGAGCTTGAAGGTTTAAAATTTGCAAACAAAATTTCAAGAAAACATATTGAATTTCATCGCCACAAAATGAATGTTAAGATAGCTGGCCAAACACTTAGCAGCTCTGTTGCTGATGCAATTGAATTTTTAATGGTATCGCAGCATCCATCTTTCTTAGGAGCAAGTAGTACAATTCGTTTTATAAGAGTTATTGATAAATTATTTGACATGCTCAATTCCAGAAATCCAAATGGTAAACACTTTAAGAAACCTCTATATCTAAATAATCAGCTTTATTGGAAAAATATTTTAAACACTACGATAACTTATCTGAGCAAGTTGACTGATATTAATGGCATTCCATTGCTTTTACATCGAAGAAAGACATTTGTTTTAGGTTTAATTGTAGATGCTAAAAGCACTCTAAAATTATCCTTCGATCTGTTAACATTTCATGAGAAGCCATTTAAGTATGTTCTAACTTACAAATATTCCCAAGATCATCTTGAACTACTATTTGCTTGCATTCGTGGAAAAAATGGTTACAACAACAATCCTGATGTAGTGCAGTTAAAATCATCGTTAAAACGGATTCTTCTGCGAAACTCCATTGTTGGATCGAGTCATGCTAACTGCCTAATGTTTGAGTCATATTCTAATGGCTCTATTTTTTCTCTTAGTTGGAAAAAAAGGTTGTGTTCTGTTGATAATTTTGACCAAGAGGATATTGACTTTGAAGAAGTGTTTTTGTACTGTGATGAACTCCAAATGTCTAGCTACAAAGAAGCAATATGGGGATATATTTCTGGTTTTATAGTCAGAAACTTGATAAATACTATTTCATGTAATGTTTGTGCTCAATCATTAACTAATATTTTATCATACGAACATTCCTATGCGAAATCTCATTCTTCGTTAAATAATGTGAAAAATTGTGGTGGTTTGTTTTTGCCATCAAGGGATGTTGTTTTTGTTGTAGAGATGTGTGAGAAAGTATTAAACTTCTTTATTAGTGGTAAAGATTTTAAAAATCCAAAAATAACCTCAGATAAAAATATAAAGCATTAGATGCTCCATTGTGTTAACAAATTAATTATTAAAAAAAAAGTCTCTAAAGGACTTGATAGTCACGACATAGAATTGTGGACTAAAAATTGCCAGCCAGCTTGTTAGAAAGATATGTGAATATTACTTTAGAATTCGAATGTTCAGATATGCCCAGGACTATACCACTAAAGTTCTAAGTAAGTCGTCAATTGGTTTAAGACAACAAACAAATAAATTAATATTGTTCAAGGGTTTATGAATATTTCATTTTATTGTATAAAACTTTAATTAAAATAATAAAATATGTTATACGATGTTTTAGTTTGATGTTCTAAATGCAAATATGTTTTTAAATATATATTTTTGTGGCTATAAAAATAGCCGTTTGTTTTAGTTTGTTATAACAAACTTAACATGCTAACGTTAGCATGTCCAATCTTTGACTAACAAATATGTATGTATTAACTGTATGCTCACTAAATTGCTCGTTTGTGATTCTAATCATCTTTAATTCCAAGAATAAGGACGTTAAAATTGCCAATATCTTTTTATAAGAATGCGATCGCTAAAAGCTTTTTGCCCGATATAATAATGGCTTCCAACGCATTAAATTGGCTTCACTAAAAACGGCGAAGTTAGATATCTAGTTATTTATTTACATCATTGGTTTAATTAAGCAAAACCGCCATTTTGTTCATTTATCCCCTATTAAAAAAACCCGCACGCTTTTAAAGTCCTTAATTCAGTCTTTCCCTAAAGAACTAGATTAATGCCGTGTTTATATTTTGAAAATTTCTCAGAAAAAATAATTTCTTAGAAAAATAAAACACTTTAAAATGCATATTTTATAGTTTTAACTAAACTCTACAATCATTTTAAAAGAATGGAATACGCATCTAACGCGTTTTGTTGAATTATTTAAAAACTGTTTTTTGAGTCAATGCTTAGTCTATTTCTCAGAAAAAAATAAGTACTAAGTAAATATTTCTCGGTTTCTTAGAAGAAAAAAAAAAATTGGTACAAATAAAGAATATCTAAATATACATTAAAAATCATAAAAAGGTTCGTTGTTTTTAAAACTTTTAGAAATCTTGATTTAATAATTTTTTTAACAAAAAATTTGTGAATAAATTAGTCTCCTCAGTATTATCTTGTTCTATCTACAAATGTAATAAATAAAATAAATTAAAATATATATATATATATATATATATATATATATATATATATATATATATATATATATATATATATATATATATATACATATATTTCTTGTATTTATTTTACATATGAGATATAGAATTTTATTTATTACATTTGTAGATAGAACAAGATAATACTGAGGGGATGGTATATATTCTGAAAAAATATTTTCATGAATATTTATAACTAATCTTATGTAAACACAAAAAATAGAGAACTTTTATATATAATTAATAATGATATTATTTTTATTATTATTTTTAATAAATAATAATTATAGCAATAATAATAAAAATAATAATAATAATAATTGTAGTGTAGTAAATTAAATAGTCTATAATTAGTTCTAAGCCAACATAGAAGGCTTTATTCTTCTTATAACAATATGTAAACTAAAATATACAAACAGGTTAGTTTTAGTATACACATAATTAAACTCAACAAGGATAATAATAATTATAAGAATCAGCACATTCTACCATACTAAAAAAACAAAATTAGTTAATAAGTTCTAATTGTATAAATATAGTCATTTAAATATGTATTAGGATTCCAGGAACTTCCTGAACAACGAGGGACTGATTCTTTAAAAGAAATTCCATTAGGATTTGTAGGAGACAGAGTAGAAAAGTTTTGAGATCTTTTTGGATGGAGAGGCTCAGGTGAAGGGATTGTATCAAATTCATTGGAGTTATTATTTCCATCATTATCACATATTATATCAGCCGTTGGTGCGAGATGTCTTGTAGCAACAGTGGTCTCACGTCCATCAGGCATTATTTCATCAGAATATTTACTATTAGCCTCTAAAAGCTCAATCTCTTCTACCAGAGGTTCATATTTGCTGAGTCGAACATGCCTTTTAAGCAATACAGGACCTGAATTAGTTAACCATGTAGGAACAGAATGTCCATTAGAAGAACGTCGACTGAATCCAAATAATCGTTCATGAGGTGTAGCATTAGCAGAAGTGCAAAGTAAGGAACGCATTGAATGAAGGACATCGGGTAAAACATGTTCCCAGTTCATGGTAGGTAAATTCTTTGATTTGATAGCAAGCGAAATTCCTTTCCAAATTATGCCATTGTATCTTTCACACTGACCATTGCCCTGTGGATTATAAGGAGTAGTTCTACTCAGGTTGACACTTCTAGAATTGAGAAAATTGCGGAGCTTTTTAGACATGAGGCAAGTGCCTCGATCTGATTGTATATAAGCTGGTATACCAAAAGTGAAAAGTTGAGTTTGGCATTTAATAACAGTTGAAGTAGAAATATCATGACAAGGAAATACAAAGGGAAATCTTGAAAACTCATCAACAACTGTTAAAAAGTATTTGTTGCCTAATAAAGACGGAATAGGTCCTTTAAAATCCATGCATAGTCGCTCAAAAGGTTTTGTTAACAAAACCTTTTGAGCGACTTATTAACAAAACCTTTTGAGCAACCTTAACAAAATCTACTCAAAAGGTTTTGAGTAGGTTTTGTTAAGGTGTGGTTAAAATTGCTTACATAGTACTTCGGTTTTAATTCAGCACAAATTTGACATGAGGAAATGGTTTTTTTTACATCATCAATTAAAAAAGGCAGATTTTTCAATTTTATAATATGATACATTCTGGTGATTCCAGGGTGGCAAAGAGATTTATGTAGTTCTTTAAGAGAGGGTCCGTTTATAGTTATAGAGCAACAAGATTGAGAGAGGGCATCAGCAACAAAATTCTTACGTCCAGGGCGATAAACTATATCATAGCTGTACGAAGTCTGATTAAGGGAAGCAGCTATGGCAAAATTGAAGGCATCTGTTTCCACCTCAAATGGTATACTTTCATCAATAGCTTGTAGAGCTGATTGAGAGATTAATTCTTTCATTTCATTGAAACATTTAATAGCTTCAGTTGATAGTGGAAAGAAGTTAGAGATAAAGAATTAATTTTGTCAGAAAAATGTTTGATATATTGGGAGTAGTATGAGAACATACCAAGGACTCGATGGAGAGAAGCATTATCGGTGGGAGCAGACATTTCAATTAATGGCTTTAAGCAATCTAAATCATGGGAAAAGGAGCCACTTTTTATAATAAAAACTAGGTTATACACGAAGTAGACAATATAGACTTTTCATTAAACGTAAACATTGCTTTCTTAGAAGCTTCAAGAAATTTTTCTAAATTGAAATCATTTTTTTTTTAGATGTACCACGTATAAGCAAGTTATCTAGATATACGAAAATATCTTCTAAATTGTTTTCTTGAATTAACTTATCCATGATTCTTTGAAATTGTGCAACAGCATTAGTGAGGCCAAAAGGAATTCTTTTAAATTGGTAAAGATGTCCATTGGACTCAAAGGCAGTATAATACTTGCTACTTTCTAGGAGAGGTATTTGGTGATAAACACTTTTTAAATCAAATGTGCTAAATAATGAATATTTTGCAACAGAGTTAACTAATTCATTGATGTTAGATAAAGGATAAGCATCATAAGTGTAAAGCGATTTATTGTTTGTGAGTAATCAATGATCATGCATTTCTTATGTCCCTCATTCCTTGTAACAACTATTTGTGATCGCCAAGGAGAGTTACTTGGTTTAATTATATCTAGTTCCAAAAGTTTTTTAGTTTCTTGCTCAATGAATGCTTTGTCCTCTGAGTTATATTGTCTAGAAGGTGAAGCAATCGGTCTACATTCTGGAGATAGAAAAGGGAAAAGAGTGCGAGCTTTCATTGTAATACTGTTTAGAGAACAGATTTTTAAAGAATCTTTTTTACCACCATAATTGATATAAAGACTTTGGTGCAACTGTAGGAAATCTCTACCAAGTATGATTTGTTCACAAGATTTGGGTATAACCAAAAAGTTAATATTAGAGTACTTCATACCAAATAAAGTGAAGTTAGTTGAAACTTTACCTATAACCTGACAAGATAAGGAAGGATCAGCCATAGAGACTCTTTTATTAAAAGGGAGTATATTAAGTTTTAAAGAGTCACATAATGATTTGCTTATAAATGTGTCAGAGCTTCCAGTGTCAAGAAGAGCTCTTACCTTGGCCCTAGCAATAAAGATAGAAACAATAGAGTTAAGTGAGTTGATAGAAGAGCAAGAAATCGAGGCTAAACTTGGTGCATGGAAGTTAGCAGCAGCAGATGTGACAAGGTTCTTTGATGGTTTGCATACTTTCTTGAAATGCCCTTTCTTACCACAATTGTTACATTCTGCATCTCTGGCAGGACATGATTGTCGAGGGTGACGTTTACTTCCACAGAAATAACAAAGTCCACTAGGCTTAGTAGAAACTGAAGCAAACTCAGTAATACATTCAGAATGTTTATTAATTGTAGCAACATTTCTATACTCTGTATGTGAATACACTTCATTATTTCTTTGAGCGTTTTCCAATGAACGAGCTTGATTATAAGCCTCAGTAAGTTTAAGAGTAGAGTTTTCTAGTAGTCGTTGGCAAATATGATGAGAGCTTAAACCACTTATAAATGAATCATGAATGTATTCTTCACAATGTTCTGAAGCAAAAACCTGTTTAAAGTTGCAATCTTTACTGAGTGTACGTAGGGCCTGCAAAAACTCATCAATAGATTCTCCGAATGATTGTTTACGTGAAGCTAACTGATGTCTGGAAAATAATTCATTTTTAGGTTTTACAAATAAGTTTTCCAGGATTTCTATAGCGCCATCAAATGATTCAATGTCAGCAATATAGTCGAACACGGAAGGAGATAAATAGTTAATGAGGATATCTAATTTATCTTCTGCTTGTATAGTTTTCATGAAGTTTGTAAAGTTCTAAACCAGTGTGACCATTCTTTAGAAGCTGATGCAGAATTGGGATTGCTGTCAAATCGTTCCGGTCTTAGATATTTATCCATTAAAATATGAAGAATAAATTGTAGTGTAGTAAATTAAATAGTCTATAATTAGTTCTAAGCCAACATAAAAGGCTTTATTCTTCATGTAATAATATGTAAACTAAAATATACAAACAGGTTAGTTTTAGTATACACATAATTAAACTTAACAAGGATAATAATAATTATAAGAATCAGCACAATAATAATGATAACTTTTTAATCAAATAGATTGAGATATTGAGGCGCTAAGAACCAAAACGAGCATAGAGCAGGTATTTGTCACTTATTTTAGTGTACAAATTAAATATGTGGTGATCAACTTGTGTTGTGCAAATGACATGCATAGCAAGCTAACCTATGAGTTGTTCCGTTATATAGAAAATACACATTTGTTTTTTTGAAATTATAAATTTCAAAGTCTTCAGCATAAACAGTGAAGGAGATGCATTGTTTTTCATTGTACAAAACATGATGCAGATATTCAGCATATTTACTGAAATTTCTATTATAAGTAATTATTTAAGCATATTAAACTTTTTAAAAGTATATCAGTAATGTACAATACAATTGAAAATGCTGTATAATTTACAACTTATAAAACTATTTTTTTAGCCTCAACAATAAATTAGAACTAAGAGAAGTGTATTTTACTGTCCTGGGCACTGGCTAGAACAGCATATCATTTACACTTCTCTAAATAATAGTAGAAAAAATTGTGACATTGATCTTATTGTGATATAATAATCAACAAATATGTGTTTGTTGATTATTATATCACAATAAGATCAATGAAAAAAACAATTTGTAAAATATATAATAGAAAACAGTATATATATATATATATATATATATATATATATATATATATATATATATATATATATATATATATATATATATATATATATATATATATATATATATATATATATATATATATATATATATAATGTATATATATATATATATATATATATATATATATATATATATATATATATATATATATATATATATATATATATATATATATATATATATATATAATGTATATATATATATATATATATATATACATATTTATATATATATATATATATATATATAAAATATATATATATATATATAAATATATACATATATATATATATATATATATATATATATATAAAATATATATATATATATATATACATATATATATATATATATATATATATATAAATATATATATACATATATAAATATATATATATATATATATATATATATATATATATATATATATATATATATATATATATATATATATATATATATATATATATATATATATATATACTGGGGTAAGCTGGGGTATAGTGAACTAGAGATAAAGTTTAATAAACTTTTTGTTTAGTAATTTAGCATTATTTTTACTTAATACAACTTTTAATTTTAAAATCAAAAAAAAAAAAAATTAAAATATTGCTTTTGTTTTAATGTAAAAACACTTTTAAAAAACGAGTTTTTCAGAAGTTTTAAAATTATGTTATCAAACTTTGCGATAGGTTTTACTAAATTTAAGATTTGTTATTGTTAATGTGAATATCAGTTATATTATAAACAGTTATATCAGTTAATATCAGTTATATTATAATCAGTTATATTATAAACATTTATATTATAAACATTATAAACATTTTGAATATTATTTAATGCTTTACAAAAATTGTAGTTTTTATCATGATGTAAAACAGCTAATTTTTTAGTTTGTAAATTAATTTTTTTTTTAAGTTCACTTTACATCTCATTTTTCTGTCTAATAGGGGTAAAGTGAACAAGTCTTTTTGTTAAGTTTTTGGCATCAAATACTTTTAGTAGAACTGTATATATACATTGTAATTACTTAACTAAACTGTTTATTTTTAAAATTAATGTTTTTTTTTTATTTTTATTTCAGAATTATAATATATTAAAATAATGTCAAGAAACTATGTTAACAAAAAATAATCTCAAAAAAAAAAAGGCACCTAATTTGGTATCACATATCTAATTCTCAATAGGTAAGCCTTCAACCATATGCACCTAATTTGGCTGATTGCTTATCTTTGATGGTCATAAGAGTCATATTTCTTAAGAAACTGTTAAAAAAGCTATTGAAATTATTTTTTATTTTGTGTTTGCCAGTACACTGTTTGCATCGCTATAGCCACTTGATGTGGGAGTCTTTCGCCAAGTTAAATATGTTTAGTGTGAAATTCTTGCTAAATTAGTATACTGAGTCAAGACTAAAGGTGGTTGGGGAATCTGTTTTTCCTACTTTACAAAGAAAAAATTTTGATACCTCTTTTAAGCTAGCTCATTTAGTAAAATCATTAGCCAAAACTTTTCCCGTTGATCCATCTACTTTATCATCGGAAAAGTTAACTCCTTCCAAAATCTATAAGCACTCTTTTTCTCAGAAAACAAATAATTGTGACAACAATATCCCTCAAAACATCATTTTGAACACCAATGGCAATAATCCAAACCATACTTGTGAAAATTTTTTGTTTTTTTATTTGCGAAAAAACAAATACAATTCTCACAAAACTATAATATCTGTAGACGAAGACTTAAACAATGAAAAAATAAATCAACTATTAGTATCAGATGTAGATTATTTTAATGGAAATAAAACCATAAGAGAAATAGTGAAAGAAAAGTTAATGGCCAAAAAGGGTGATGTTTGTTCATACAACAAGCAACCTAAAAAAAAAAAAAGACATGGAGGTGAGTGTCTTACATCGGAAGGAGCATTTAAAAGTTTAAACAATAAAGAAAATAAAGGTTTTAAAAGAAAGATCAAGCAGAAAAGCAAAATACAAAATTAAAAAAAAAAAATTATCAAAAGTAACAAATATTGTAGGGGTAAAGTGAACTAGTGAACATGCTTTTTTTTAATATATATTTAGCATTGTAATGATTATTTTTAATCTTACTATTTTATTTCATGTCGTATCTAATGATTTAAAGGGCATAAGTTTTAAAAACTGAAATATGTTATGCTTTTTTTTCTGAATAATTTTCCTTTAAATTTCAAAACAGTTTACTTTACCACAGTTTACCCAATAGAGTATTATGTAACAAATTGTCATATTTTTGTTATATTAATTTAAACAGCGTTTTCAGAAAAAAAAAGAAAAAAATGAAGAACAATGAAAGAAAAGATTGCTTTCCAATGCCAAACCCTCAGTTGATGTAGCAGCACTCCCTTGTGACAGCAGGCTATAAAATAGTTGATGTATGAAATGAAGCCTCCAGCAGCAAGCTTTTTCAGTGTGATACAAGATGTTATCTCAAAATGCATTCAATGTTTGGAAAAGCTTACAATAATGCTTTCCTAGTTAAAGTTGTTCAAACAACTGTTTGGTCTATTAAATTATTAAGAAGACATATTTTTGTTGCCTTTTAATTTTAGCATGCTTGACTGTCAATAATATGCTATCCTACAAAAAAAACTAAAATTTAAATTAATTTAATTTAAAAATTATTTTAATTAAATTATTAAAATACAAATACATCAATAGACCTGAGCATTAAAACCAAAATATACCTTAGTTTATAGTAATAACTTATTATAATTTATAATAATATAAAAACAACAGCTTATTCAGTTTTTAGTTTATTGCTTAGGTTTTTTGTCATTTTTCTAAAACTGTGTTGTTTTTTATGTATGCTTCTATGGTACAGGGTCATCCACTCCACTAGAAAAAAAAATTTAAGCATTATTTATTCAATGATGCTTAAAACATAAATGTTCCAGTTTTTCAAGCATGTTTTTCAAAAACAATCTTTTCCAGTTTTTTCAGTTTTTCTTAATTGGTAGATAATTCAAAGACATGATTAATTGTCCATATTGTCAAGCAATATCTTGAACGACTTTACATCTTTGGCATTCGTTATCTGTTTGGGAAAGTCATTCCATTTAGAGATAGTATGATTAGTAAAAAAGTGATGTCTAGTTTGATAATTTCTTATTATTTCTTGTCTTAGTTGCGATCAAGTTTGATTAGTACAAGCTGGAATAACTATTTGCGATTTAACCCATTGTACATTTTTTGTAAATATTTTATATTGCTGAATCATATCGCTACACTCACATCTACAATCTAATAGACATTAAATTTTTTGCATAATTTAAGTCATTTATTGCATGCGGTATTCGTGTTACCTTTTATTTATGTTTGGATTTATGTCTTTTTTGAGGTGAGGATTCCATGCTTGCACTGCAAATTCAATGTGTGAATGTACATAGCAAGTATATATTTTTTTCCAGAGATTAACATCACGACTGACAAAAACATCCTTTAATTGACCAATTATTTTACAAGCTGATGAGACAGCTTTGCATGCTTGTGCTGAAGATTTAAGATAGTATGATATTAAAACACCAAGATCTTGTTTGCAGGTACTTTTTGCAAAAATAAGTCTCTTAATTCTCCGTTCTACTTAAAATGTATGCTGATGGCACTCAAGTAATTGAGTGCCATCAGCATACAATTTAAGTAGAACCGAGAGATTGTCAGGAAGGTCATTGATATAAATAACGAATAATTCTGGACCGAGAACTGAGCCTTGTAAAACTCCACTTTCAACATCAACCCATTCTGAAATCAATTCATCAAGAACAACAGGTTGTATTCGGCTAGATAGAAATATACAGTATTGGACAAAACACTTGCAACCATCATCGAACAATGCTAAAAAGTGTTCCTAATAATGTCTCAAAAACGAAACGAACTATACTACCACAGCAAACAGTTCAGGAGTCTGGAGTCATAGCATACCATGACATAAGCAATCAGCTGACAGGTGACAACACACAGGCAGAATTTCGTTGATCAGTGCCATTTTGCAGGGGACAAAACAAGTGCAACTTTTTTGGTTTGTTTCATTTTCTTATGTCTGGTCCGTGTCAATGCCACAGAAGTTTTTTAATAATTAAAGGAAGTATCCAGAAGTTTCCAGAAGTTTCCTGAAGCATGCAAAAGCTTCCAGAAGTTTCCAGAAGAAGCATCTGGAAGCATCCAGATACTTCTTCTGACTTCTTTATGACTTCAGGTGCAAAAATGGTCCTGACATTCTTGGATTGGAACTAAGAAAAAAAATTATTGGCGATTACGTAAGTGGAATGTCACAAAAAAGTATTTGTGATAAATATCGCATGAAAAAATGGACCGTATCAAGACTATGTTCCAAATATCGTTCTACGGGGAAGTTGGCAGCAGATAAAAAAGGTGTAAGACCGCGTTCCACCTCTTCTTGAGAGGATTTTATGATGGTCAGATCCGTCAAGAAGAATCCCTGGATATCATCAGTCGAGATACAAAAGCAATTAGAGCTGCCTGTATTGGACTGAACAATCAGACGATGTGCTGTTGAAGCCAGATTGTTTTCTCGACGCCCCGCAAAGAAATCGCTGATTTCACTAAAGAACCAGAAGAAAAGACTCCTGTTTGCTACATCTCATATTGACTGGAATGTGCAGAAAAGGTGAGCTGTCCTGTTCAGTGATGAATCAAAGTTCAACATCATTGGGAGCGATGGCATTTGCTGTGTACGTCGACCGGCTGGAAAACGCCTAAATTTACGTTACTGCCATAAGACCGTGAAGCATGGTGGAGGCAATGTAATGGTCTGGGGGTGTTTTTCTGCTAACGGTCTAGGTGTCCAATACATCGAATCGATAAAATAATGGACTGTTTCATATATAAAAATATCCTGAAAGATGTTATATTACCTCATGCTGAATGGAATATGCCAATAAAATGGGTTTTTCAGCAAGACAACAATCCGAAACACACTGCAAAAGTAGTCAAGCAGTGGTTTCAAGACAACCACCTATCGGTGATAGATTGGCCACCTCAATCTTCAGATCTCAACCCTATCGAGAACCTGTGGGAGATTGTCATCGGCAGAATTAATTGTGAAGGTGTTCGTAATAAGGATCAACTGTTTGAACAAATCCAAAAGGCCTGGGCAACGATTCCACAAAGTTTCATTGATCTCCTGATCGAATCTATGCCTTGAAGATGCAAGACTGTGATCAACAACAAAGGATTTGCTAGAAATATTGATAGCAAAACACAGCTTGGTCAACATTTTGTGGAGTTGCACTTGTTTTGTCCAGAAAGGAAATCCACTTTTTTAAATACTTTTTATTAATTTATAAATTTTCGTGTACAAA